GTTGGTTAAGTTGTTGCTTTCTGTTGGCTAAGTTTTTGCTTCCGGTTGGCTAAGCTACTGTTTCCTGGTGGATAAGTTGTTGGTTTATATTGGTTAAATTGTTGTTTCCTGTTGTTTAAGTATTTGCTTCCGGTTGGCTAAGTTGTTGTTTCCTGTTGTTTAAGTATTTACTTCCGGTTGGCTAAGTTGTTGTTTCCTGTTGTTTAAGTATTTACTTCCGGTTGGCTAAGTTGTTGGTTCCTGTTTACTATACTTTCAGAAAAGTTTTCTACTCTCACGCATAATGGCAATTAGATTCGGTAGATTTTATGATAGGTTTTCTAAAGAACTTGTTTCGAATGGAAGAACATAGGTACATCCTAAGACAACAAAGTGATAAGGCTTTTACATATTAGTAACTTAAGATGGTATGGACTTTAACATATTAGTATCTAAGGGTGATGTGGCTTTTGAAACCGTCTTGATGTTTTGTTCTGTGCTGCTTCCAGAAATGCTCTCCGCCATTATATGTTCTTGTTTCTGTAATTGTACCATGACTATATCAATAGAACCAATCCTTTAAAAACTAAGCCGATCCGAATTTTTGTACAATTGACATGCTTTTAAAATAGAATGTTTGAATAGAACGGCAAATTATAGCTTTCTTTTGACGACGTTAACTCGTTTAATTAAAGAGGAACTTCAAATCTACATCAATGCAATGTTCAAACAGGCAGAGTTGGTCATTTATCAGCCAACTGAATAAATAACAAGTAAGTGAAGAATTATCTAGAGGTTTATTTAGTACAGCAGAAGATTTAATGAAGATGTATTGGAACTAGTAGTATTGTTTGAAAGAATTAAAACGTCCAAAGCGTGTGTTTGTGTCGTCAGTTTTGTATCACTTATTAAGTGTGCTATTTATTCATAGTTTGCTAGAGGTCGTAAACACGATTTGCTGTCCAGTCGCTCTAAAAAAATGTATCCAAAAATGGTTATTCAAACCAGAATAAAACACATGGTCATGATCAACGCCGGTAATCAAATTATGTGTGAAAGCTTCTTGTCTAATTACAAGACTCTTGGAAATAATTATATCTATAAGTATCCAAGATCAATATAATGTTTCAATTACATGTCAAGAGTGGACCATGGACCGTAAGTAAGTTTACTGAAGGATTTTCCGGGAGTGGGGGTGGGGTGAAAGGTCTTTATATTTTAATGAGGAAAAGTGTAAAGCGCCTTTAATATATTAGTTTTTGTCTTAACGGTAAAAAGGGATGAAGGTTAATATTATGACTAGGCTTGTTTTAATTGGTTTGGACATCATCGACTAGTAAGTGGCGCCATCTTAAGTAATTTTGGGTAATACAGGGTAGAATAATATTATCATGGAACAGTCTAGGCCTGCCATGGTCTGGTGGTTAGGGCGTTCAACTCGCAATCTGTGGGCCGAGAGTTCGAATCCAGTCACTGAACATGCTCGTCCTTTCAGATGGGGGACGTTATAATATACGGTCAATCCCACTTTTTTTTATAAAAGAGTAGCCTAAGAGTTGGAGGCGGGTGGTGTTGATTAGCTGTCTTCCCTCTATTATGCCCCCAGTGGTTTGTCTGCGGACTTATACTGTTAGAAACCGGGTTTCGATACCTGTGATGGGCAGAGCACAGATAGCCCTCTATATAGCTTTGTCTTTAACAACAAATAACAATAATCCTCTGGCATATCCTTTCAACCCTAACAATCGCTAACGCAGATAACCCTCGAGTAGTCTTGCGCAAAATTCACAAACAAATAAACATGCACCAGTCCCTCAATCACAAGTAAGAAAATAACTAAACATGTAATTAAATAATATCCACTGTTATAATCTGGATTATTTAACCTCCACTTGTGTTCTACAGGGGGTTATACATGCCAATTATCCCACATCAAGTTTCCATTCATGCTTGGTCATGCATGCAGACGTGTTACCGTATTTCATTACACACGTCTGGTATCTGAATGGATACAAGTTCAAGTGTTAAAAACATCACAATCATTGCGGGCTAGCAAAACGAAACACGATTGCGTTGACTAATGTAGAATAATGTTTAGGAACTCATAGAATCTACATCTTCTTCTTCTTTAGCTTTTTCCCGTATCTATACGGGGTCGCTATTTTTGGTGTTGGCAGGGTTTTTACGGCCGGATGCCCTTCCTGATGCCAACCATCCCCTAATTTAGCAGTGTAAGACTAGAGGGAAGGCAGCTAGTCATCACCACCCACCGCCAACTCTTGGGCTACTCTTTTACCAACGAATAGTAGGATTGACCTTCACATATAACGCCCCCACGGCTAAAAGGGTGAGCATGTTTGGTGAGACGAGGGTACGAACCCGCGACCCACAGATTGCGAGGCGAGCGTCCTACCCACCTGGCCATGCCAGGCCTCAACTCATAGAATCTACATATACATACTAAAAACGTGATTTCGTAACACAACAATGTATTTACACGAACACAATTTTTAAACTGAACTGGCACATCGTATGTGTTGCTAGGATACACACAAAACTTTTGTATATTTATTATAATCTACGCAATTTTATGTTTTGAAGAACAAAATTTGTGTTCTAAAACTACATAGTATTGTAATAATTTACTACGCAACTTTTTTTCTTTTTACTGTTCATTCCTTAATGTTCGATCACCATTATGAAACTGGGTTGTTGTTTGTAGTTATGCACAAATCTACTCAATGGGCTATCTGTGCTCTGCCCACCACGGGTATCGAAACTCGATTTATAGCGTTGTAAGTCCGCAGACATACCGCTGTGCCACTGGGGGGCATGAAACTGGGAGAGACAATTATCTCTCTCTTAAGATACCTCGTGGTACAGTGGTAAGTCTGAAGGCTTATAACGCTAAAAATCGGGTTTCGATACCCGTGGTAAGTACAGTACAGGCATACCATCGTGTAGCTTTGTGCTTAACTACAAAGGAACAAAATCTCGAGAAGAATTATGCAATCCGTAGGGTACAACACAGCATGACATGTGAACTTGAAAAGCAGGAAATAAAAATATTTGTTTCTCTTAATTTTGGTTTTATTTACTCTTGAAATAGAACACTTTTGGGAGACCCTGCGAATATTTTTTTCTTGTCTTTAATAACGAATATAGTGCCTTTAGTGGGACTATGAAAAAAAAATAGCTTATTATCACTATAGATATTATTTTACGACGAGTATGTTGTTATAATGGGTCTTGACGTGTTGAAAGGGTTTGTGTTGTTGAATTTCACGCAAAGCTACTCGAGGGCTATGTGTGCTAGCCATCTCTAATTTTAAAGTGATGGACTAGGAGAAGGTAGCTAGTTAACACTACACGCCGCCAAAATTTGGGCTACTCTTGTCAGAACGTATAGTAAGCTTTGACCATTATTTTTTTTTGACGGCAACAGGACGCCAATCAAGTAAACTCAAATCCATATTCTGGTTCGTTAACCACTGGTTCGAGTTCAGCCCATGTTGAAAAGGCGTTTAGTGTATTTTGTTAGTTTGTTTGTTTCGGATATTCGCCCAAAGTCAAACAACGGTTATCTGCACAAATCGTCTCTAATTTTGAGTTAATAGACTTGTGGGAAGATAGCCACCACCCACTGCCAACCCTTAGGCTATATTAAACGAATAGTGCGATTTAACCATCACTCTTATAATTAATTCACCTTATGTCCCGCAGTTTAAAGCGTGATTTTGCAGCAACGAGAAGCAAACCATGAACCCTAAGCCAAAAGTGTGACAAACATTCAGTTGGATAGCATTTTATCAATATAAAACGTTTTCTGCCTTATATCATTGAAAGTCACCTTATAATAAGCTAGTCTGTTTTTCTTAACGATTTAGCACAGGGCAAAGAAATGCTGACTGCAAAAATTAGACTTTTTTAATCAATGTGGTGAGCTTGTTAATGTCTTTGGGAACTTTGGCTAGCGAATAAACCATCTGTTGTTGGAAACCTCGACTGCTGGTGGTATGCACTACCTTTAAATACCTTGACTAGTAAATTAGACTATTGTCTCTAGAGACCTTGTCTACGTCTTTAGGAACGTTGGCTCGTGGACGAGTGTACCGGCTGATGGATAAATCTACTGTCTTTGTGGAATTTGGCAAGTGCATGAGTCTGCTGGCTTTAGAGACCTTTGTTTGTGGACAAGTCTACTGTCTTTAGGGATTCTGGCTGATGGATAAATCTACTGTCTTTGTGGAATTTGGCAAGTGCATGAGTCTGCTGGCTTTAGAGACCTTCGTTTGTGGACAAGTCTACTGTCTTTAGGGACTCTGGCTGATGGATAAATCTACTGTCTTTATGGATTTGGACTAAAGCACGAGTCTATTGGCATTAGAAACAATGTTTAATGGATAAGCCTACTGTTTTTAGGGCTCTTGGCTAAAGAATAAATATATGATATTTTAAGATCATGGCTCATTAATGGCTATATTTATGGTTCTTAGATAACTGACATGTCAGCTTTTTATATTGGCTAGTGAATGAGGTTGATACTTGTAAGGATGTTTATTACTGGATATGCTTCTCATTTGTAGAGACATCAATTAACCTAACAATCCTAATATCCCCAGGAGGCAATATTTTTGAGGAGTTTGCTGAGTTTATAATATACATTTTGTTATCAGTACACGAGATTTTTATGGGTCTTACGTCAAGGAAAAATTGCATCTCGACGACAAAAAAATAAATAAATAAAATAAAATAAAAAATAGAGAAAATCTTTTGCTGTCGATTGCCTAAAAGTTTCAATAACTATTTTAATTTATATGCAAAGATAGAATGGGTTATTATTTCGTTCTGGTCATTAAAAGTATTTCAGATACATTTTATTATTACTCTTTACATTAAGTGCTGTTCGTTATCTAACACATTAAGAAAGCCAAAACTGTATAAAAAGTAATTGTAATTTGGAAAATAACATTATGTGTGATCTAAAAAGTGTTTATTTTAGTAACGTATTAACAACTTACCAGTCTTTCCCACATCTTCTGAGCCCAAAACTTTGATGTTACATGTGCTGTGTCTGGACCAGATACTAGTTAGGCCTAGCTTCCGTAGCGACAATCCTCTTCCTTTCTTCGACATTGTGCCTTATAAACTTGACAATTGGAAAGATATCTACGAATTTCGGAGTTTCCAATCTCCCAGTTTCAAAACTGATTGAAACAGCTACTTATTTTGCAAACCTTCAAAAAATAATAAAAACTACAATACTTCATATAGAATTATACACGGACTTTTCTTTACATTAAGCCCCCCCAGTGGCACAGCGGTATGTCTGCGAACTTACAACGCTAGAATCCTGGTTTCGATATTCGTGGTGGGCAG